CCCCAGGGCAGAGGAAGTGCAGAAAAAGCTCCAAGGCCATGCTGGACAAATATTAGCAATTACAGGAATAGTTGAGCAGAAACAGGTGGCTCAGACAGCTTCAAAGAGAGACAAAATAATCAAAAAATTGCTAACTATATGGTATCTAGTTCTAAATTCATCACTGTAATTAAAGGTTAGTAAGCTGCAATGATCACTGTTGTTACCACCTGGCCCTGAAAGGCTTTTCATTTAACATCATCTCCTTTTGTAAAATCGTGCCCTTTTTCCTCTGTCTGTGAACAAGAGAAATATTGAGAGAAAGAACTGCATTTGTTAAAGTTAACTTTGTGAGTTTTTGTTTTTGCTCTCCGTTTTTCCCCTCTGTGAGAGTATGTGGGGGATGACAGAGACTGCACTCAAACCTTTTAGAGAGAACAGCAGCAGCAGCAGAGCAGGCAGTTCACACCCCCCCTGCTCCCTGTCCAAAAAAAAGCCCCAGGACAGTACCCAGTTTGTTAAGAAGTCATGATTTATTGGGTTTTTAAACTCTTTTTATATACCCTTTTAGAGTTAATTTTGTGTTTTAAGTAATTATGAGTTTATGCAGCTGCAGTTTTTTAGAGCTTTACTGGAGAATTTGTTGTGGTTCTTTGAAAGTTCAAAAAGCCCCTTTTTAAAAAGTGTTTAAGGTGAATATTAACAGAAGTAAAAGTTACCTTGCAATAATTAGTTTTAAAACCTAATGTTAAAATATTGAATGATTTACAGCTACTAAGATAACAACCTTCCAAATAATGTTATCTACAAAATATATTTATGGTTTAAAAAATAATTAGCTAGGAGAATTTCACTGTGCAAGACAAAGTTAAGCATATGTTACCCATTTGTTTGTTTTTTTCCACAATTTTAATATGATAATTTCAATGTGAATTTTTTTGTTATAAAAAACATGGGTAACAGCATATATATACCAATTTGGACTTTGGATTTTAATTAGAAGTTAGACTTGATGTTTTTGAAAAGTGCTACAAAAACTGAGTGGCAACCTGCCAAATCCTGTGTTGTGGTTTTTCTATAGGAAAACTGCACTTTAAAATCCTCACCAATTTAAGCATATACTAGGCAAATTCTTGTTTTGAATAAGTATTTTTAATAACATTTGCAGTTACAGTGAGTTATTTTCAAAGCCAGATGACATAGAATTGTGATGTATTTGTTACGTTTTGATAATCTTTATGCTGAATCCATGTCACTGTTATATTCTGTTTAAAAAGTATATGCCAAACTTTCAATTGCCTTTTCGTAATAATAGAGTAAGATTAAGTTATGCTTTTATTTGATAGAGATTTAGTGTTAATAGAATTAAGCAAAGTTTAGTTTCATTATGTTTAAGTTTGAATGTTTTTAAGTTAAGTTTTATAACTTTCATTTTCTTTTAGGGTTTTGTTATTTCCTTTTGTTAATTAATAATTAATTTTAATCAGGTTTAAATATTGTTTAATTTGGATTGTTTTATGTTTTATTGGAGACACTTGTTTAAACTGCGAAGTACAGTTATTTTCTTAGAGAGATGAAGATGACTACAACTGAAACAGCTGTGATAGAACACTGATGAACCTGCTTGTAGATAGAGCGTTTCCAGAATTCCAAGAAAATGTACCATTGCTGAGGATCAGCTGCCATGGGAGAGGCTTCAGACTGAACCAACTGCTGCATGGTTTAATTGGTCTGGTACCTAAGGCTTCTGATAACTTGATTTGTACAAATGCATTTCAACAGTTTGCTGTGCTGTAAGCATCTCATAGCTGCTACTATTGAGAACCTTGTTTTAGAAATGAGTTAAGAGGCATCTTTCCAGTTTAAAGCCAGGCCCTGACCAAGCCTTGACTTTACCTGGACAGAATGTTTGCCAACAGATCCAGATGTTTTCTGCATCAATCAGTATTTGAGTCACTTTTTGACTCAGCAATTTGACCCTATTAATATGACAGCTGGATCAATTTTGAAGTGGACTTGAAGAATCATTTCCAGAGGTGGTTATCCAATCCTTCACTGATTTATTTTTTGTTTGTTTGTAGACTATGGGATGCTGGTGCAGTGTTTTAGTAGTTAATAGTAATTTTATATCATGTATGTTATTAATAATGTTCATTATTTGATTGATTTTTAACTACTATAGATTTTTATTTATCGTGTATATGGTTTTGAGTTGATATTGATGTGTATGGCAGAAGTACATCTCATTTTATTTTTTTTTTTAGAGAAAAAATAAACAACAGGGGGAATTGATGCCCTAGAAGTTTAGAAAGATTATCTCATCTAAATTTACAATTGGGTGTACCACAGCTAACCAAAATGATTAATTAACTTTAAGGGGAGAAGTGTCTGTGTTTTGTTAACAGGTTAAAGAGGTCACCTGCTCATCTGACCAGACTGTCTGCCTCTGAAAACATGAGACCCAGTGAACGGAGAAGTCACCAACTTGGTACTCCAAATGAGATCACAAGTGGACCTGTCAGGACACAGTTGTGTCTGAAAACTACACAGACAGTTTGCCAACAGAAATTTTATGTTGTTATCATGATGTTGTGTCTTTACCAATTTTTTTTTTCAGTTATTCTCTATTTTAAGATTTAGAAGGATGTGAAGAACAACCTAAACATCAATGCTTTCAACCAGTCACTGATCGACTGCCAGGTGACATCACAGGAGCAGCACATGTTCCAAGACAGAATCACGTTAAAAGATTGATTGTGAGAAGAATTTTGTAGAAGATCTAAGAGTATAGAGACTCCATCTAACTGTATATAAAAGAAAATTGTAACTGTATTTTACCCTTTAAGCAAAGTGCTTTCATGCTTAGATTGCATGAATACCAGAGCACGTGTGTTAGAAGTGGTTAGACAATAGCTTAAGATAAAGAGTTTTAATTTCTGTGGTAATTGTTATTTGTAGGTTATTGATAAGTTTAGTAAAGACATTATTATAAGGTGTAAGTATTCCCCCTTCAAGAGTTAGTGTAAGCATCTTTGAAAGTTCATTTAACAAACTGCTTATAGTAATTGTAATGTGTATAGTCCCAGCCAGCCGTCTGCTAACATACACATCCAATAGCAACCAAAACATATACATGATTACCTAGCACACCTGACAGGCCAAAAATCAATGTGTCTAAGCCTAGCCACACCTGGAGATCCTTTCACACCTGTCTCATAGGAGTCCCTGAATGGGATCCTCCAGCATTTAAAGGTTTACTTAGTAATGAGACTCGACTGAATTGATCAGCAATGTTGCAAGAGTACAATCACACTACTGGCCTTACATCAAGACAACTTGAAGCCTGCTGGCAAGCAAAAATTATCAAAGTTCTTAATGTTACCATAGGGCCCCCAGAAGAATTGGATTTGTTAGGTTCCACCAAGACCTCAGGTGGATGGATAATGTTTGAGCCCCCAACAGAAAGCCAGTCCAGCAAAGTAATACAGCACTGGGCTACAGTTAACCCTATAGTTGATGTCATTACTAACACTAAAAGTAAAGCTTTTTATTCACGGTGCAATCTCACAGGACGATTACCAAAGCGATTACCTAGTTCAATATTCCTAATCTGTGGAGATAGAGCATGGAATGGAGTTCCTGCTAGCCCACATGGAGGACCCTGTTATCTTGGGAAACTTACTTTGTTCCATCCAAGCTTACACCAATTTCTGAATATAGCTGATAAAATAAAAAGCATCAAACGGTCAAAGCGAAGCCTGAATGAATTACAATGTGATGATGTTAGAGACCCAGACTTTTGGAGTTGTGGTATAATATGGGCAGCCTCCTTTTTACTCCAGGAGCAGCTGCTGCTAAAGGCTTGTCAACTTTAAAAAGGCTCACTTGTTGGACTAGGAAAGAATTGAACTTAACATCAACAGTGTTAAGTGAACTTTCAGCTGATGTGAGTAGTGTACGTCATGCAGTATTGCAAAATTGAGCTGCAATTGACTTCTTGCTCTTAGCACAAGGACAAGGTTGTGAAGAGTTTGAACTCATGTGCTGCTTGAATCTTACTGATCATTCAGCTTCCATCCAACTACAGTAACCAACTACAACAGCTACAGAATGGGTTACATGCCCTGAAAGAAGACAGTGACCCCTTTGGAAGTCGGTTCACCAGCTGGGGCATCACTGGATGGTTGAGGTCTCTTCTGCTAGAAGGGGGACGGATTTTACTTATGGTGTTAATTGGGATGGTTGTTTTAGGCTGTATGGTACCTTGTCTTCATAGAAGTGTAGAACGAGTTGCGTCCAAAGCCTGGCTTGGGCAAAAAGACAAAGAGGGAATTGTAGTGATTATTTTAACAGAAGGTGGGCATGATATTTTAGTAAAAGCCTGTCTGCACAAACCAGCCTTTGGTATAAGTAACAATATTAAAGGTAATGTCCTTGAAACTCTCCTGAAGCAGAGAGAATTAAAAAAACAATAGCCTTGTGTACAGGAAAAAGAAGGTAAACAATACGTATTAGCCAATAGTAGCTTGTTAAGCCTGCGGACCCTGTTGGAACCTATAAAAGTGTGCTAAAGATAGAAATAAATGACATTCACTGTACTTCTGTGAAGACTCAGTGAATAGTCTGAGCGGTTTCTCAATACCAGAGTATCCATCCTTCCTTTCTTCCATACCCACAAAATGTTGCTTCGATCACCTGGTTGGACATAACCATGCAAGCAGCCCACTCCTCCAACATGGCCCCATCCAGAGCAGGAGTTCTGGGGCAATGTGCATCAGGACCAGCTACTCAGGAGACCTTTGTTGTACCAACAGCCACATTCCATCTTCCCTGGGAGGAAGACTCCAAAGACCTAATCCAGCCACAGGACTGCAAACTGGAACCAATTGTTAGAGGGAACACCAGTGGGTTCCGAAACAATTAAAAAAAAAAAACCCCTACAAAGCTCACAACTGCCAAAAATTAGTCTCCAGAAAACTCTTCCAGGAGGTTTGGATTAAGAGATAAAATTAGAACAGTACCATTTGGTGCAGTAGGTGGTGACCAGACACCAAAGTATTTTGGCAGATATTCCCGTAGTTCCAGAAGAATGCTGTCACAACAGTCGGAGTCATACACCTGAAATAAAATAGGGAGGGTTGGAGAGATCACCATTTCAAACATTCATTTTTGCTGGTGGGGGAGTAAACAAGTAGCTGCATGGTACTTGGTAGCTGCCTGGGACTAAACTCTGACAATTTCCAATTGTCCCACAATTATACTTTCTTACAGTCTTTGTTTTCATAAGTCTAAGATATTTACCTTACGTTTAAAAAACATGCAAGGTGAAGATAACAATTATCATAGTTCAACACGAATGAATGGCACCCTTTCTCTCAAATTTTAAAGTGGCAACGATACATCAACCCTAAGGACAATTTATGGCTTTACTGGAATAAAAATCTAAACTGTAATTGTTAACTCCAAAGCCTAGCTATTGAAAAAGGTGTTCTCACATTTGCATTCAAGATTGTATAGGATTACTGCATCATATTATATTCCAAATCTTTTTAATTTATATCAGGTAAAGTACAGAAGCTTAGACTAGATAGCATTTTCCCATCTTCTCCAAGACAATTCATGCTGTAGCTACATCACCCAGACTGTGCACAATTCAAACACATTTCATTTGCTTCAACACTTTCAACATTTTTGTTTAACTTCTGTAGGAAATAAGAGTAAAAATCTGGAAACAGCAAATTGCTTATATTCTTGAAGGAACAACTCTTTGCAGTTAAAAGAAAACTTTGGATACTATCTGCTATGGAATTGCATGACTGTTACCAATTTGCAGCATTGAACAGGGTTTCAAAACCATTCCCTTGCCCAGATTTCCCCCATCCTACCCAGTGATGTAGTTCCAGACACAGGGGATTGCCTATACCACACTTCCACACACTTTGTAGACTGAAAGATCTATATCCACACCAGTACAGGTTACAATGATTGTTACTGCATTTAGGAGCCACCTCATCCCACTCCCCATAGAGATGTCCCAGTGCTGCCATCAAGAGAGGTGTCCTTCCCCTCAGCCCTACCATGGCCACACAGGATGCTGTACAGTGACTGGGGCATGCTCAGGGTTTTGCTGCCACTGCAGTGCAGCCAGAGCCCACTGCAAAGCTGGCAGCAAGGTAAAAAAAATGTCAGGTGTTAACAGCTCTGCAGACTTGGCTCAGCTTATTTTGTCAGGCCACATTTAACTGCAGTGGGGCACACCTGGCAATAGCAGTGACAAAGGAGAGGTATCGCAAAACACATGCCAATAGTATTAATATAGCTAGGGAGGAAAAAAATGGACCTGAAGTCCAGATGCTGTTTTAGAGCATCAAGGCAAGCCTTGGCTATCCTCACCAGTGCTAGTAACTTGAGACAGCACCTCATGCAGCAGCAGTGTTGAAATTAGTTAATGTGAGTTTGTCCTAAATTTAGGCTTCGATGCAAAAACCTCAAACTAGATAAACTCAAATCACCAGTGTGCTTCTAACAGAGGGACCTCTCCACAGCTGATGCAGGGCTCTCCTGGGCTTGCACCAGCCACAGTTTTGCCACCCTCACTGTTAGTGGGAAGTGACCAAGACCATGATAAACCCTTGCTGACTGTATGCTAAGGTACTCAATTTGACCCATTCCTTTAACCAACTCAAGGTATAGGCCCCATTTAAAAGATCCTATGGGAAGGGGCCAAATCCTGAAAGCTCAAACCACACAAGTATGTGAAGGGTGCATTGCAAAACTCTAGGGTATGCCCAACAGCACACCCTCTGCCACTACTGTTTCTACCTTAAGTATAGAGAAATTGCTGGGTGTGTATCTTTCAGTGTCACATCACAGGGCACTGATCTCTCTTCATGTCATGGTTTAACAAGCTGGCATGACCACTGAGGATGACACATAATTGTATGTCAAAGTCCAGTTTCCCTCTGCGTTAGCACAAGCTGGTATGCTGGTACATTGTGCTCATAAGATGAAAAATGCTGCTTGGCTCTGTGATCAGAGTATTTATGCAACATTTCTTCACTAAGCCTCAAGGGCTGCCAGCAGAGGACAGTGTCTTCTCCAGAAGACTGCAATGTAGCTTGATTTTACTCATTTAAGGAAGAAAAGAAGAAGCTAAGGGTAGAAAAGAGAGGAAGATTAGCACCAGACAGATGCTGAGGCACAGAACTGAACACTGCTCTCTTTGATAACAGTTCAGCATTCCCCTCTGTACAGACAGCAGTTTCTGGGACAGTACTCCAAGCACTGGTGCTAGTACTTCATGCTGTACACAAGCAGTACAAAGCCAATTTTTGTTTACTGTGGTAGTTTATGATCATAGCACCTTACATCCAAGGCAGGGCACTTCACCGTTCCCAGTATTAATGCTCTTTTCCTAGATGAGTTGGAGAGGATCTGAGAGGCAGAAATCATCATACCTTTACATGGGAGCAAGTGCATATATTTAGGTCAAGAAGAGAGCAATGGAAACCAAAAGTACAACAGACAACAAGGAGAAACATTGAATGCAACCAAAAAAATAGGCAAACATAGTAATTTGTTTACTTAATTTATTAGCAAAAGATTCTGAGCAAGTGAAATGTCAGGAGACCACTTCAGTTTTTTGAGACAGTACCCTTGACTTACTTTTTATCACCAACATTAGGCAATTAACCTTTGCAACTTAGCAAGCAATTATAAGTATGCTCCTGTGTATTTCATATAGCAGGATACAACAAAGATACTCAGATAATTTATAATGGGGTGTGATATCCCAAAATTGAGACCAAATAGGAAAATACAGCTCCAGAAGTAGTATCTTCCAAGTAGTCTATTCCTCAATACCCTGATATAAAACATTTTAAATGGAGACAGAACTCCCAATAATGCATTTTTCAGTATCACTACTTTGATGTAACAGAAATAACTGCATTATTTCTGTCTCTCAGAAGTTATCTTGCTCCAAGAACCAGTAAGAAACTCCCCTCATAAGTCTGACGTAACATATACAAGGCACTTATTTGACCTTAATATAGATCTCAGTCTTAGCCTGTAATGTATCTGCATGTCAAACAAGAATAAGCACTCAATTAATAAAGATCAGAGAAGTCACTTGGTGTGGGCAAAGCAACAAAACCTTTCATTTCAGAAATGATGCTCATTCCTGCACAGGACAGAACCACTTCTGCTCATTAGAATGGTGCCTCATAAGCAGTACACATCACAGGCACTTCTTCTCATTTCATACAACCTGGTAGCAAGCCACAGAATACCAAATATGAATGTAAACATGACAAAACCATCCCCAAAACTACACAGGGACTATACCATGCACCTCATGACCCAAAAGGTATTGCTACTAATACTGCTGGAAGATTCATGAAAAATGCAGGTTATTACTTACCTCAGGAAAACCTCAGTAAACAAACCATTCGATTTTTTACTTACATCAGCAATATTCTAATTTTACCTCAAGAAACAGTGTTTCGGGTTTCTTTTAATGTAATAGTGGAGGTCCATCTCTCCAGCAAACACTGACAAATACAAGCAATTTCTGCATTAGCATATATAACATCTTTATCCAATAAATCAAGAAATGCAAGACAATTCTATGTCAGCTCAGCCTGGAGAGTTATCTCTTCTACATATCACAGGCTACATTCTTCAAATAGCACAAACTGGAGACCTAAAACATTTCCAGAAAAGCAAGTAAATAGGATGCTGACATTTGGAGGGCTCACAACATGACCATTACAAATTACAGCCACTAACTCATATGCGGAATATGCCCCAGGTATGTTCTATGGTGTGGCGAGGTGCCTCGGGGAAGATAAAGAGTTACATTGTCCCACCCCAAACCCCTTGTGAAGGGTGGCCCAGGAGTTCAGATTGGGTTTGAGTCCCTGGGGGTTTCTCCCTTGCTGTGTTTCTAGTGGTCCCTGACCCTGAACTCCACCCTCAAAGGTGGAGACCCTCAAGAGTTCTGTCCCTCAAAAACCCCTGCTGTGCCTCTGTTCAGGGCTCTCTGTTCTGGATCTGAGTTGTTCCCATGCTGAATAAATGGTTCCATGAACCGGGAGCCCGTCTCGTTGGTGTTCCATGCTGGTCCCCAGAACCCTGCAGCTTCTCTGGACATGATCCTGAGGTTGCGAACTGCAACACTATGGCAGCTCAGATAGTCTAATAGACACCACGAGTCGTAATTTCTAGTCATGCAGACTTTTTAATTCCAAGGCAAATTTAGCATCCTTAAGTTTTTAATCCAAAGTGCACCCTCAGGTTTCTTGTAACAGATTCATCTGCTTTTAATGCAAACAGGGGATGCTTAAGACAATGGGAATGTTCTTTTCATTATTTAAAACACAACATGAGAGTTTTTTCCTAAAGACTAGCTAATGACCTAAATGATAGGGGGAAGGTAAAACAGGTGTTTAAATTTCAATCGGAAACTAGTTCTGGCAGTACAGACCTGTCTTCAAATGTCCTGATAAAAAAATACCACTTTGACAGAAAAGTAATCTATAGAGAACCTTCTAAAGTACCTTCAAGAATTAGTTTAAAAGAACATGTACTTTAAAACTATTTGAATAGGAAACTTTAAATGTCAGAGTAAACATTATCAGTCTGAAGCATCACCTTTCTTGTTGCCAGATACCATAAACTGTCCCTAAAGGCAGCAGTGCTACAGCCTGCACATTATAAGGATACACAGCCAGCTGCCAAAATCAGGCAGAGACATTCACTGTCCACTGTGGGATTTGTGACTATTTTGAGCAGTTAATGCAGTTAAGTCATGCACTTAAATTAGCAAATGCAAGATTTACAGGTGATAGGGCAACCTTAATTCCCTCTTCCATTGAGTATGTATTATATCACAGACTTTAATTACCTGAGTACACACCGCATTTCCCTCCAGACTCTTACATCAGCCAGTTACAACAAGAAAGTGCAAGGGTCAAAATATTGAGGTTGAAACAGCAGCTGTGATTTTAGCAATTCATATCTGCTTGGTTCCACAACTCAGACAGCCCTGGTTTTTTTTCTGAAGTGGTTTGAATTGTGTGTCCACAGAACTTGTTTCCACCAAAATGACTGGCATG